CAAAGGGTCAAGGTCAAGTTTTGTATTTTTCACTGATGAACATTTTGTTATGATATCAAGAAGCAAAGTTGGTCGGAATTAAAGAATAAGTCAACTGACCAAAGTTCAGGGTCACTAGGTTAATGGTCAAGGTCATTTGGGTCCAAAGGTCAAAGACAAAGTGTATCTCTGACTTTGACCCTGGCTCTTGATGTAGGAGGTATATAAGGTGAAATAAAACAAATCAAAGCTAACAAATGAGTATTGCACCGGTATTTACTTTTCTGTTAGCCCAGCAAATATGGAGGTGGAAGGAAACAAGGCTCGCATCATAGTACATGTAAAATGTATATTTTGCTTCCTTGCGATTCTTTTTGAAGTCCAAATGTCAAACTTCAAGCTCAGCTATATGGGCAGCTTGCTTCTTGATGATTATGGGGGATATATTGCCACAGGACGGGGCCCTTACTGACCTGTCAGTGTTCTAGTTTACTATGGTGACACGGTTGAAGGTGAATGCTCACTCTGGTTTACTATGGTGACACGGTTGTAGGTCAATAGTTACTCTGGTTTACTATGGTGACATAGTTGAAGCTTAATGGTTACTCTGGTTTACTATATATGGTGACATGGTTGAAGGTCAATGGTTACTCTGGTTTACTATGGTGACAAGGTTGAAGGTTAATGCTCACTCTGGTTTACTATGGTGACACAGTTGAAGTTCAATGGTTACTCTAGTTTACTATGGAGACACGGTTGAAGGTCAATGGTTACTCTGGTTTACTATGGTGACCCGGTTGAAGGTCAATGGTTACTCTTGTTTACTATATGGTGACCCGGTTGAAGGTCAATGCTTACTCTGGTTATAATGGTGACACAGTTGTAGGTCAATGTTTACTCTGGTTTACTATCTTGACACGGTTGAAGGTCAATGCTTACTCTGGTTATGCTCACTAAGGTGACACTGTAAACTGTGTACACTCTTGTTTTGTAGACAATGTTAAAAGCGATACAACTCCATCCACTGTGCAAGGAAATTCAAAGATCTGCCAAGTAAGTGGAGACTTTTTTAGCTCACCTGGCCCAGAGGCCAAGTGAGCTTATGCAATGGTGCAGCATCCATCGTCCTTCGTCTGTCATTCGTCTGTCGTTCGTCGTCCTGCGTCCGTTGTAACATGCTAGAATGAAGGGCTACAAAGTTTGTTCAAATGAATGACCTTTACTTATATTCAAGGTCACAGGGGTTAAATATGTTAAAAACCTTTAAACAACTTCTTCTCAATAACCAAAAGGCCTAGGATGATGCTATTTGGCCAGTAGCATGCTGTGATGAAAGGCTACCAACTTTGTTCAAATCAATGACCTTGTCTATTTTCAAGGTCACAGGGGTCAATTGTCTTAAAAATCGGTATACAACTTCTTCTGAATAACTAAGAGGCCTAGGCTAATGATATTTGGCCAGTAACATGCTAGAATGAAGGGCTACCAAGTTTGTTCAAATGAATGACCTTTACTTATATTCAAGGTCACATGGGTCAAATATGTTTAAAACCTTTAAACAACTTCTTCTGAATAACCAAGAGGCTTAGGATAATGATATTTGACCAGTAGCAGGCTGGGAAGAAGGTATACCAAGTTTGTTCAAATGAATGACCTTGACTTATATTCAATGTCACAGGGGTCAAATATGTTAAAAACCTTTGAACAACTTCTTCTGAATAAATAAGAGGCCTAGGGTTAAGGTATTTCACCATTAGTATGCTGGGATAAAGGGCTACCTATTTTGTTCAAAAGAATGACCTTGACTTATATTCAAGGTCACAGGGGTCAAATATGTTAAAACATCTTTTGAATAACTAAGAGGCATAGGGTTACGATATTTGGCCAGTAGCATGCTGTGATTAAGGGCTACCAAGTTTGTTCAAATCAATGACCTTCGTCCATTTTCAAGGTCAAAGGGGTCAATAGTCTTAACAAATCTTTAAACAACTTCTTCTGAATAACTAAGAAGCCTAGGATAATGATATTTGGCCAGTAACATGTCAGGATGAAGGGCTACCAAGTTTGTTCAAATGAATGACCTTACTTATTTTCAAGGTCACAGGGGTCTAATAAGTTTAAAACTTTTAAACAACTTCTTCTCAATAACCAAAAGTCTTAGGATGATGATATTTGGCCAGTAGCATGCTGGGATAAAGGGCAACCAAGTTTATTCAAATGAATGACCTTTACATATATTCAAGGTCACAGGGGCCGATGATATTTGGTCATTAACAGGCTTGGATGAAGGGCCACCAATTTTGTCAAAATGAATGACCTTCGCCCATATTCAAGGTCACAGTGGTCAATATATGTTTAAATCTTTAAATGACTTGTTCTGTATAACCAATAGGTCCAGGGTTATGATGTTTTGCCAAAAGCATGCTGGGTTGGAAGGCTTTAAACTCTGTTCAACCTAATGTCCTTGTTCGACATTCAAGGTCACAGGCGGCATATGTTTAAATCTTTTAATAGGCTCTTATGAATCAAACACTGATATTCTTCCTGTAGCTGCATTTTAGTCCACTTTTAAGATTACAAGTGTGAGATTAATACCAGGTGAGCGATTCAGGCCCATTGGGCCTCTTGTTTTAACTAAAGAGTTAAAACTTGTTAAAAACATTAAGTACAACATTCAGGCATTTTCAGTTCACCATCATTACCTGCTGCTTTGTTCAAATCACCTTTCACAAATGGACTGACATGTAGTCATCTTGAACTTTTAGAGTATATATTTTGTAATTAGCAGTATTTATCACAAAGTGCTGGAGGGAGCTTTTGCAAATTTCACATGTACAATGTAGGTTCCCCATAGTCCCTAGTTTACATGTAGGTTCCCCATAGTCCCTAGTTCAAGTTGTGTATACTGGAGGGATCACATGTAGGTTCCCCATAGTCCCTAGTTCCCTAGTAGGTTCCCCATAGTCCCTAGTTCACATGTAGGTTCCCCATAGTCCCTAGTTCACATGTAGGTTCCCCATAGTCCCTAGTTCACATGTAGGTTCCCCATAGTCCCTAGTTCACATGTAGGTTCCCCATAGTCCCTAGTTCACATGTAGGTTCCCCATAGTCCCTAGTTCACATGTAGGTTCCCCATAGTCCCTAGTTCACATGTAGGTTCCCCATAGTCCCTAGTTCACATGTAGGTTCCCCATAGTCCCTAGTTCACATGTAGGTTCCCCATAGTCCCTAGTTCACATGTAGGTTCCCCATAGTCCCTAGTTCACATGTAGGTTCCCCATAGTCCCTAGTTCACATGTAGGTTCCCCATAGTCCCTAGTTCACATGTAGGTTCCCCATAGTCCCTAGTTCACATGTAGGTTCCCCATAGTCCCTAGTTCACATGTAGGTTCCCCATAGTCCCTAGTTCACATGTAGGTTCCCCATAGTCCCTAGTTCACATGTAGGTTCCCCATAGTCCCTAGTTCACATGTAGGTTCCCCATAGTCCCTAGTTCACATGTAGGTTCCCCATAGTCCCTAGTTCACATGTAGGTTCCCCATAGTCCCTAGTTCACATGTAGGTTCCCCATAGTCCCTAGTTCACATGTAGGTTCCCCATAGTCCCTAGTTCACATGTAGGTTCCCCATAGTCCCTAGTTCACATGTAGGTTCCCCATAGTCCCTAGTTCAAGTTGTGTATATTGGAGGGATCACATGTAGGTTCCCCATAGTCCCTAGTTCACATGTAGGTTCCCCATAGTCCCTAGTTCAAATGTAGGTTCCCCATAGTCCCTAGTTCAAGTTGTGTATACTGGAGGGATCACATGTAGGTTCCCCATAGTCCCTAGTTCACATGTAGGTTCCCCATAGTCCCTAGTTCACATGTAGGTTCCCCATAGTCCCTAGTTCACATGTAGGTTCCCCATAGTCCCTAGTTCACATGTAGGTTCCCCATAGTCCCTAGTTCACATGTAGGTTCCCCATAGTCCCTAGTTCACATGTAGGTTCCCCATAGTCCCTAGTTCACATGTAGGTTCCCCATAGTCCCTAGTTCACATGTAGGTTCCCCATAGTCCCTAGTTCACATGTAGGTTCCCCATAGTCCCTAGTTCACATGTAGGTTCCCCATAGTCCCTAGTTCACATGTAGGTTCCCCATAGTCCCTAGTTCACATGTAGGTTCCCCATAGTCCCTAGTTCACATGTAGGTTCCCCATAGTCCCTAGTTCACATGTAGGTTCCCCATAGTCCCTAGTTCACATGTAGGTTCCCCATAGTCCCTAGTTCACATGTAGGTTCCCCATAGTCCCTAGTTCACATGTAGGTTCCCCATAGTCCCTAGTTCACATGTAGGTTCCCCATAGTCCCTAGTTCACATGTAGGTTCCCCATAGTCCCTAGTTCACATGTAGGTTCCCCATAGTCCCTAGTTCACATGTAGGTTCCCCATAGTCCCTAGTTCACATGTAGGTTCCCCATAGTCCCTAGTTCACATGTAGGTTCCCCATAGTCCCTAGTTCACATGTAGGTTCCCCATAGTCCCTAGTTCACATGTAGGTTCCCCATAGTCCCTAGTTCACATGTAGGTTCCCCATAGTCCCTAGTTCACATGTAGGTTCCCCATAGTCCCTAGTTCACATGTAGGTTCCCCATAGTCCCTAGTTCACATGTAGGTTCCCCATAGTCCCTAGTTCACATGTAGGTTCCCCATAGTCCCTAGTTCACATGTAGGTTCCCCATAGTCCCTAGTTCACATGTAGGTTCCCCATAGTCCCTAGTTCACATGTAGGTTCCCCATAGTCCCTAGTTCACATGTAGGTTCCCCATAGTCCCTAGTTCACATGTAGGTTCCCCATAGTCCCTAGTTCACATGTAGGTTCCCCATAGTCCCTAGTTCACATGTAGGTTCCCCATAGTCCCTAGTTCACATGTAGGTTCCCCATAGTCCCTAGTTCACATGTAGGTTCCCCATAGTCCCTAGTTCACATGTAGGTTCCCCATAGTCCCTAGTTCACATGTAGGTTCCCCATAGTCCCTAGTTCACATGTAGGTTCCCCATAGTCCCTAGTTCACATGTAGGTTCCCCATAGTCCCTAGTTCACATGTAGGTTCCCCATAGTCCCTAGTTCACATGTAGGTTCCCCATAGTCCCTAGTTCACATGTAGGTTCCCCATAGTCCCTAGTTCACATGTAGGTTCCCCATAGTCCCTAGTTCACATGTAGGTTCCCCATAGTCCCTAGTTCACATGTAGGTTCCCCATAGTCCCTAGTTCACATGTAGGTTCCCCATAGTCCCTAGTTCACATGTAGGTTCCCCATAGTCCCTAGTTCACATGTAGGTTCCCCATAGTCCCTAGTTCACATGTAGGTTCCCCATAGTCCCTAGTTCACATGTAGGTTCCCCATAGTCCCTAGTTCACATGTAGGTTCCCCATAGTCCCTAGTTCACATGTAGGTTCCCCATAGTCCCTAGTTCACATGTAGGTTCCCCATAGTCCCTAGTTCACATGTAGGTTCCCCATAGTCCCTAGTTCACATGTAGGTTCCCCATAGTCCCTAGTTCACATGTAGGTTCCCCATAGTCCCTAGTTCACATGTAGGTTCCCCATAGTCCCTAGTTCACATGTAGGTTCCCCATAGTCCCTAGTTCACATGTAGGTTCCCCATAGTCCCTAGTTCAAGTTGTGTATACTGGAGGGATCACATGTAGGTTCTCCATAGTCCCTTATTCAAGTTGTGTATACTGGAGGGATCACATGTAGGTTCCCCATAGTCCCTAGTTCACATGTAGGTTCCCCATAGTCCCTAGTTCACATGTAGGTTCCCCATAGTCCCTAGTTCACATGTAGGTTCCCCATAGTCCCTAGTTCAAGTTGTGTATACTGGAGGGATCACATGTAGGTTCCCCATAGTCTCTAGTTCACAGNCCCATAGTCCCTAGTTCCCATGTAGGTTCCCCATAGTCCCTAGTTCACATGTAGGTTCCCCATAGTTTCTAGTTCACATGTAGGTTCCCCATAGTCCCTAGTTCACATGTAAATTCCCCATAGTCTCTAGTTCCCATGTAAGTACCCCATAGTCCCTAGTTCAAATGTAGGTTCCCCATAGTCCCTAGTTCATATGTAGGTTCCCCATAGTCCCTAGTTCACATGAAGGTTCCCCATAGTCCCTTGTTCCCATGTAGGTATCCCATAGTCCCCAGTTCACATGTAGGTTCCCTATAGTCCCTAGTTCACATGTAGATTCCCCATAGTCCCTATTTCACATGTAGGTTCCCCATAGTCCCTTGTTCACATGTAGGTACCCCATAGTCCCTAGTTCACATGTAGGTTGCCCATAGTCCCTTGTTCCCATGTAGGTACCCCATAGTCCCTAGTTCAGATGTAGGTTCCCCATAGTCCCTAGTTCACCTGTAGGTTCCCCATAGTCCCTTGTTCCCATGTAGGTATCCCATAGTCCCCAGTTCACATGTAGGTTCCCTATAGTCCCTAGTTCCCATGTAGGTTCCCCATAGTCACTAGTTCACATGTAAATTCCCCATAGTCTCTAGTTCCCATGTAAGTGCCCCATAGTCCCTAGTTCAATTGTAGGTTCCCCATAGTCCCTAGTTCACATGTAGGTTTCCTATAGTCCCTAGTTCACATGTAGGTACCCCATAGTCCCTAGTTCACATGTAGGTTTCCTATAGTCCCTAGTCCACATGTAGGTACCCCATAGTCCCTAGTTCACATGTAGGTTTCCTATAGTCCCTAGTCCACATGTAGGTACCCCATAGTCCCTAGTTCCCATGTAGGTTCCCTATAGTCCCTAGTTCAAGTTGTGTATACTGGAGGGATCACTTGTAGGTTCCCCATAGTCTCTAGTTCACAGGTAGGTTCCCCATAGTCCCTAGTTCCCAAGTAGGTTCCCCATAGTCCCTAGTTCACATGTAGGTTTCCTATAGTCCCTAATTCACATGTAGGTACCCCATAGTCCCTAGTTCCCATGTAGGTACCCCATAGTCCCTAGTTCACATGTAGGTTTCCTATAGTCCCTAATTCACATGTAGGTACCCCATAGTCCCTAGTTCCCATGTAGGTTCACCATAGTCCCTAGTTCACATGTAGGTTCCCTATAGTCCCTAGTTCCCATGTAGGTTCCCCATAGTCACTAGTTCAAGTTGTGTATACTGGAGGGATCACTTGTAGGTTCCCCATAGTCTCTAGTTCACAGGTAGGTTCCCCATAGTCCCTAGTTCCCAAGTAGGTTCCCCATAGTCCCTAGTTCACATGAAGGTTCCCCATAGTCCCTTGTTCCCATGTAGGTATCCCATAGTCCCCAGTTCACATGTAGGTTCCCTATAGTCCCTAGTTCCCATGTAGGTTCCCCATAGTCACTAGTTCACATGTAAATTCCCCATAGTCTCTAGTTCCCATGTAAGTGCCCCATAGTCCCTAGTTCAATTGTAGGTTCCCCATAGTCCCTAGTTCACATGTAGGTTTCCTATAGTCCCTAGTTCACATGTAGGTACCCCATAGTCCCTAGTTCCCATGTAGGTTCCCCATAGTCCCTAGTTCACATGTAGGTTCCCCATAGTCCCTAGTTCACAAGTAGGTTCCCCATAGTCCCTAGTTCCCATGTAGGTTCCCCATAGTCCCTAGTTCACATGTAGGTTCCCCATAGTCCCTAGTTCACAAGTAGGTTCCCCAAAGTCCCTAGTTCACATGTAGGTTCCCCATAGTCCCTAGTTCACTTGTAGGTTCCCCATAGTCCCTAGTTCAAGTTGTGTATACTGGAGGGATCACATCTAGGTTCCCCATAGTCCCAAGTTCAAGTTGTGTATATTGATATTTGGGGCTAATCAGAATAAAACCTGAAGATGGCTGAGAGGCAGCAACTTGAATATTTAGAGATAAAGTTTGGTAGCTCTATTTTTAGCCCACCATCATCTGATGGTGGGCTATTCAAATCACCCTGCGTCCGTGGTCCGTGGTTCGTCCGTTGTCCGTCGTCCGTCGTCCGTCGTCCGTCCGTAAACAATTCTTGTTATCGGTATTTCTCAAGAAGTACCAGAGGGATCTTTCTCAAATTTTATATGCAGGTTCCCCTTGGACCTTAGCTGTGCAGGGCAACTTTTGAGACTGATCGGATAAACAACATGGCCGACAGGCAGCCATCTTGGATTTTGATAGTGAAAGTTTGTTATCGCTATTTCTC